CCCCATGCTCCTTCCAAGTCAATCTCTTCCTTCACCCTCCACGGGTAACATTGTTCTGGTTTTTCTACCATACATTAGTTACTTTTTATAACTTTTATTTGGAAATAATTTCAAACTTAGAGAAAAGTTGTAAGAATAATAATACTGCGAAGACTATCCAGATACTCTTCACCCAGATCCATCTCTCATTGACATTTAACTAATTTGATTTGGCATTTGCTTTCTTTCTTTGCATATAGTTTTTTTTTTTTTTTTTAACTTGGCATGACGGTATGCACCTGTAATCCCAGCTACATGGGAGGCTGAGGCAGGAGAGTTGCTTGAGCCCAGGACTTTGAGACTAGCCAGAGTAACATAGTGAGACTCATGTCTCTAAACTTTTTTTTTTAAACAAAAATAACAGATTTTTTTTTTTCTGAAGCACTTGAGATTAGTAGCATGGAACCATAGATTAGTTTTGCCCCTTGTAGAAGTTCATAGAACTTCACACAGCATGACTTTGGTTTTTAAATTTTTATGAAACTAATATATTCACATAGTTAAAAGAATCAATAGTATGGAGGGAGGCTTTAATGAAAAACAGCAGTTCCTTTTAACCATTCCCACCATTCTGTCCTTAAGAGTCAATCTCTTTTTATTCTTTTAAATACTCCTTGTGGTAGTTACTTCCTCATTCCTAAAATAGTGTTATATTGTTGTTTTTGTTTCAGCAATTTTAGACATTATCTAGTCAGTTTACATTATGATAGATCCATTCATTATTATTATTCACTCATGAATCCTTTCATTCAACAAATATTTTTCTGGGTGAACCACATTTTTATTTCACCTCAGTAAATATCTAGAGGTGGGATTGCTAGGCCATATAGTCAGAGTATGTTAAACTTTGTAAGAAACTGACAAAGTAATTTGCAAGGGATATGTGCCATTTTGCATTCTCATCAGCAATATATGAGAATTCCAGTTGCTCTGCATCCTCATCAGGTTTTGTCAACATTATCAATGTTAGCCATTTAAATAGGTATGTGGTGATATCTCATTTTGGTATATATTTTTATATCTCCAATGACTAATGATGTTGAGCATGTTTTTAATGTGCTTATAGTCATCTCTAAATAATTTTTGGTGAAATGTCTATTCAAGTATTTTACCCATGTAAAAAACTTTATTATCTTATTAATTTTCTTATTGTTGAGTTTTAAAAGTTTATTGTATATTCTAGAAACAATTTCTTGTCAGGTGTGTGGTTTTCAAATATTTTCTCCCAGTCTGTGACTTGTCTTTTAAGTCACTTAACAGTATCTTTTGCAGAGGAAATACTTATAATTTTAATGAAGTCCTATTTATTATTTTTTTCTTGAATTGATAATGCCTTTGGTGTTGTATTTTAGACTAATTGCCAAGCCCAAGGTCACAAAGATTTCTCCTATGTTTTATTCTAAAAGTTTGTATAGCTTTATGTTTCATATTTAGGTTTATGATCTATTTTGAACTAGTTGTTGTATAAGGCGTAAGCTTCAGGTATAAGTTAATTTTTTTTTCGAAAATGGATGCATACGGTTCCGTTGGCCATTTAGGGTTTTCTTTGGCCCAAAATTAATTGGTCGTATTTGTGTGAGTCTACTTCTGGACTCTGCATTTTGTTCTATATGTTCTATATGTTTGATCTATATTTTTATCCCTTTTTTTGGAGGTAACCACTATTACTCCTGTGTATTTTTCCAGAGATATTCCCTGCATATGTAACTATATATGTAAGTATATTTATTTGTTTTTCTTTTTTGAGCTTATTGAAATAGTCACATAATTTAAACATAGTTTTACACTTTGTGTTTTAAAAATTTAGCCTTATATCATAAAATGGGTCAATGTCAGTTCAGTCCAATTAGAACTATCTCATTTATTTTAATGATTGCATAAAATTCCACTGTGTGGGTATAACATAATTAACTTATTTTTCGACACATCTGCCTCTGTTATTGGATAATGACTTTAAAACAATTGTTTAGCCTGGATAATTTTTAAAAAATTTGTAGCGACGTGGTCTCACCATGTTTCTCAGGCTGGTCTGAATCTCCTGGGCTCAAGTATTTCTCCTGTCTCAGCTTACCAAAGTGCTGGATTACGGGTGGGAGCCACTTTTATTTTTATAGCAGCCCTAGCAAGCTAATACATTTACTATAATCAGGTTTTCTAGAACTTGCTGCAAAAAAATAGTCCCAATTCATGTGATGGGCAAGGTCAGATATATATATATATGCACACACACACACGTACTCGTGTGTGTGTGTGTGTGTGTGTGTTGAGTATCCATAAAACAAAATGCTCCAAAATCAAAAGCTTTTTGAGCACTGACATGATGGTTAAAGGAAATGCCCATTGGAGTATCCTGGATTTTAGATTTTCAGATTAAGAATGTTCAACCAATAAGTATAATGCAAATATTCCCAAGTCTGAAAATATCCCAAATCCCAAACACTTCTGCTTCCAAGCGTTTTGGATAAAGGATACTCAGCCTTTACACACACACACACACACACACACACACACACACTCACACACAGGCATATCCAACCCTATTCTTCTCCCTTTAGTGGTTTCTGGGCTGATGATTTTCAGTGTGATTGCAGGGATATTGGATTTCAAGGCTACTGTTGAGCTGAGGAGAGCGGTACGGGAATAAGGTTGGTAAAAATGCCTCAAAGCTCACTCTTTTACAGAAACTCAACAACCATTTTTCTTGAATAAGAAAATCCCCAGATTTCTGAAGGCCCTTGGTTAATTTCCAGGGTTCTTAAAATGTTGATTCTGACAAATTATTTTCCAGTGTTCTCATTGCTTCTATGGAGAAAATTTTTGGAGATCTTTATTTCACCATTCCTACTGATGTCACTTGGGAGATTTTCATAAAACAGGTTTCTTTCCTGCATATTTTATTCTTTCTAAGTTTGGGTTCCATTATTTTCATTTTGTTTGTTTTCTTGTTTAATTTTGGAGGTCTTTCTCAAATTTATTCATTCATTCAACAAATATTAGGTGTCTAAAAAGTGTCAGATACTTCATGTGAACAAAATTAAAATGAAGACCATACTATCATGGAGTTTAAATTCTAGTGGAATGTAATAATATAATGTTAGATGATGTCTGCTGAGTGCTTTAAAGAAAAGTAAGGCAAGCTATGGAGAACAAGAGAGAGATGCAGATGTTGTTTACTGATAGAGTAGGTACAAAGGTACTGACATAAAATGATATTTGATATAATTAAACAGCCAGAAGACCAGTGTAAATTGAGTGTACTGAGCAAAGGGAAGAGTAGTAAGAAGTGGATTTGGAAAGGAAAGGCCCTTGTGGGCTTGGAAATGGACTTTGGCTTTTACTTTGATCAAGGGAGGAACCCACTGGAGGCTTTTTGTAAAGAAGAGTGACATCATTCGGATATGTCTCAAAAGTCCAACCAATGGTTCTGTTGAGAATGGACTGTAAGAGGGTGAGGGTGGAAGATGGGAAACCAGTTGTGAGACTGTTGCAACAATCCAGGTGAGAGATAAAGGTGGCCTAGGTGAGGGTTGTGGAAATGGAGGTGATGATAAATGGTAGGATTCAAATATCTCATGAACCTTGGCTGTCTGTATATATTTAAAAGTGAGGCACAGAAGCATTTACTGAAAATCTGTCTGTGGTTGAAGATTGTTGACTGGTAGTCTACAATGAAGAGTGGTTAGACAAGGAGCCAGACTTTTCCACTGGGACCCTCAAATATCATATGTAAGTATGTAGACATCTTTTTGGCTCAGATAGGTCATTTTCTTCAACAATATTCCTTCCATATCTTGGAGCAAGTTGGGAGATAAGCTTGGCTGCTGTGAATTTTAAACCTAGCAGGGGAAAACTTGGGAACGAAGGTGGGCCCAGCCTCACAGGTTCAGGAGCAGACATTCAAGACATCTCCTTGTTTTAAGCTGTAAGACTTACCCCCTGCTCACCAGCATAGCTGGTGTCTTTTAAACCCTTGACATCTTCATTTAATATCAACTTCATTTAATGTTTCCAGAAATAAAACTTAGTTTCTTTCCTGGATGCTTACGATGAGGGTGGGAACCTCAGAGAATATTTAGTCCATATACAGATATTCACCCAATGTCCTATTTTCTGCTCTGCACTTCAGACCTGCCTTATTGGTGCCTCTCAGGTTTTAAAGAGCAAATCAACTGGCTATGTTCTGCAGCCTTCTCTGTAGGCATTTAAAGTTGTAGCATTCTCCTCTCTGTTCTACTTCCAAAAATTGTTGAAGTTTTTCACCCAATGATGTCTTCTTTCTTAATCTTTTGGGCCTTATATGTTTGTGCCTCTTAAAAATTCATTTGCTGTCATTTTGGGAGCACTTGGGAGGGAAAGGAGATAGATACGTGCTGTCAACCAGCATCTTTAACCAGGTAAATATAGTTTGTTCACACTCAATACGACCCTCTGCATATTTGGATTTCCTTTCCCTACACTGAGAACCATTGATACATTGGGCATCTAGCATCGAATTTTAGGGTTCTACTTTAGTGACAAACAGACATGAGTTCGATTTCCACTTACACTATTTACTAGTTGTGTGATCATGGACAAATCACCTAAGTTGCTTGGGCTGCAGTTTCTTCATGTTTAAAATAATATTATATTTTATGTATGTGTGTGTGTTTGTGTGTGTGTATACATAGATACATGTGTATGTATTAATTATTCACATCCATTTTAAACATGAAGAAACTGAGGGTTCTGGGGATCTGTTGTATAGCACAATCATTATGGTTAATAATGCCATATTGTTTGCTTGAAATTTTGTAAGAGAGCAGATCTCAAATGATCTTTTTTTTTTTTGTATGTACTAGATTAAACTAGTGCAATTTTATTAAATTTTGGGATATACATTTTCAATTTGCTACTGTCACAAAGGGAATTAGACAATACATTCTGTCATATTGTTCATAAACTTCACAACAAGACTATAGTAGTGCCATGGAAGAGAAGAGTTCCGGTTTTAATCCCACTTTACAGCTAATAACCAGTATTTATGGTTTCTCATCTGTCAAGCACTATTCTAAGCTCTTTTAAAATATTCAGTCTTCACAGTCCTATAGGCCATTATCTCCATTTTACAAAACAAAGATTCAAGTAAATTATCCAAGGTTACAGAGCCACTGCTGCAATCAGGATTTAAATGTTTCTATGCACTGGTCTTAATCACTGCCTCTTAAATCAGATGCAGGCCAGTACCCAGCACCTAGGAGGATGTGTGAATACCTCCTATTCACTCAACCTAACGTTGTCTTTAGTGCTTCTCTGTCGGTCTTAAAATTCCTCCTGCACCCCTGCCTCCATTTGCAGATCTTCAAGGTAAACCTTTCCACTTTTACCATAAGTCCAAATCCTTGTTTCCTCTGAACTGGTTCCAGCCTTTAAAATGCCCTATTCCCCACATGTTAAAAATATAAGAAGCCCTTACTGTGGTACCTGTTAGCCTTTTATGTCATGGTACCCTAATCAAGGCAGGCCAATCACCTCCAACACAGCTGCTCCAACTTGCCTCAGCTTATACTTACTATTCCAAACTGCCTCTGCTGCCACTTGAGCTCACTCTTGCACATCCTTTCCAACTGCATACAGCAGTCTACACCACAAACTCATCTTTGATTTCATACAATCTCGTTGCTTTCTTGTTCTGCCCGCTGTGGGCTTAACCATACTGTCCTCTACTACTTAGTATAAGCCCTGCTCCCAGGCCTCCATTAACTTGCACACTCAAGCTGATTACATACATATATTTAACAGTACAGTTTTACACAGAATGCTAAGAGCACTTTTCTTCATATTTTACAGAAGGGCTTGAAACATACGGACTTTCTATTAGTAACCATACGATAGCACATCCAAATCTAATTCCTAAATAGATGATGCATGATAATTTGTTTGGAATTTAAAGGCTTAATGGCAATAATCAGGGGAGGAAAAGTTTATTTTACACAACTGACCAAAAAATAAATTCAAGAAATAGTGAATAGAATTTAATATGGTCTCATGCACCCTGAAGGAGGGGGTGCCCGATTTGGAGGGGTAATTGCTATGTCCAAGTAATCTCCTATCTGGAACTTCTGTGACTGCAGCGTCATGAAATCATCAGTCCCCTTTCTGCCAGACATGGTGCTGCCAATCTCCTTAACTCGATAGCCAGGTCTTTTAACATCTGTAAAAACGATTGCAAAATTGAAGTGAGTGCCTTTCTTTCTAGCTTCTGGGTAGACTTCTTTTACTAAGCTTGTCAGTTCTTTCAAGGTTGCATCCATCCAAGTGTAGATCTGCAACTCGCTGGACGGTACGTTTCACCGGGAGAACTCGTCCATTCGGTGGTGGCGGCCGTTGTTGGTGGTGAAGACCCGCAGCAGCAGCGGGCATGTCTTCTCGAGGTCGATTGGCTTCTCTGGCTCCTTCTTAATTTCCTCCTGGGTAACGCGCGATTCCACCGCCATCTTCCTCCTACGGCCCGCGAGGCGCTCCTCAAATGATCTTAAGACACACACATAATGACAACTATGTGTGGCAAATGATGTGTTAATTAATTTGATTTTGGTAATTATACAATATACACATATATGAAATCATGTTGTATACCTTGAATCTATACCATTTTTATTTGTCAATTATACCTCAATTGAGTTGGAAAAAAATTGGAGTGATTATTATACCACATTAAATAGATGTTACAAATGCCTAATATGCTAAACTATCTCTTACCACAGGCTGATCCATGCTCAATAAATAGTATATATTTCACTTAGCATAATGACCTCCAGTTTCATTCATATTGTTGCAAGTGAAGGGCCAAAAAAGACAAACATGCCATGTTCTCACTTATTTGTAGGATCTAAAAGTCAAAACAATTGAACTCATAGACATAGAGAATAAAAGGATGATTACCAGAGGCTGGGAAGGGTAGTGGGAAGGTTGAGGTGAAGTGGGGATGGTTAATGGGTACAAAAAAATAGAAGGAATGAATAAGATCTACTATCTGATAAAGCAACAGGGTGACTATAGTCAATAATAAATTAATTGTACCTTTAAAAATAACTAAAAGAGTGTAATTGAATTGTTTGTAATACAACAATTTGTTTGTAATACAATAAATACTTGAGAGGATGGACACCCCATTTTATGTAATGTGATTATTATACATTGCAGTCCTGTATCAAAACATCTTGTGTACCCCATAAATTTATATACCTGTAAAATTAAAAATAAAAATTAAAAAAAATAAACTTCTTATCTAAACTCATCCTTCTGCTGGGAGGGAGAATAATTTGGTGGGCATGAGGTGTGCTTACATTCCATAAGCTATGATGCCTTAAATTGTGTCTGTTTATAAATAAAAGAAGATCTTTTCAGTAGGAGGTATGAAGATTGCCTAGTTAATCTTACCACATAGTGAACACTGATCATCTTTTTCATTTGGTCGTTCATTCTTTACTTTATTCATTTAACATTTGCTGAGCTCTTACCATATGCCAGGCACTACAATAGATGCTGGAAGACAGCACAGGCAACACTCAGCAAAGCAGTTAAACAGGGTTCTTGTCTTCAAGGATATAGCAGTCCAGGAGTAGATAGACAAGGAAGGGTGATTTTGAAACAATGTAATTGTGCTATGATGCAACAGGTGATGTTGTGACTGAGTAACTGTTTGATGTCTCTTTTTCACTATAAAAAGACCTCGTCTATCTTTTTTATTGCTATTGTCCTGGTGTCTAACATTGTTCTTGGCACATGAGAGGTGCTAAATAAAACTTTTTTATTGAAAAAATGATGTGTAATGAAAATCTTTCTTTGATAAATGCACATAGAAAATGCTGTATTGACGATTTTACCTTTAAATCTTTTTTTCTTTTTCTTTTTTTATTTTTGAGACGGAGTTTTGCTCTTGTTTCCCAGGCTGGAGTGCAGTGGCGTGATCTTGGCTCACTGAAACCTCTGCCTCCTGAGTTCAAGCGATTCTCCCGCCTCAGCCTCTCAAGTAGCTGGGATTACAGGTGTGCACCACCACACCCAGCTAATTTTATACTTTTAGTAGAAACGCAGTTTCTACGTGTTGGCCAGGCTGGTCTCAAACTCCAGACCTTAAGGTGATCCACCGGCGTCAGCCTCCCAAAATGTTGGGATTACAGGTGCGAGCCACAGTGCCTGGCCATTACCTTTAATTCTTGAGAGGAAAGCATTCTTGCAAAGTGTGTGTGTTCAGTGAGTAAGTGAGTGGTTGAATATTTGGCAAAAGGTGAGCCAAGGATAAGAGTAAGTACAGCACAGTTCAACAAATATTTTCCTGAGTGCCAACCCTGTGCCAGGCATGGTGTAGGGTATGGAGGATACAGAGATGAATAAGACATAGCTTTTGCCCTTAAGGATCTCCAAGTCTAGCTTGAAGACAGACATGTGAACAGTGAATCACAGTGCAATGTGATAAAGGCCATAAATAAAACTCAGATCAGATATGAATCCTAAGCTTGAGGGCTTTGGGTAAGGCTAGAGCCATTAAACATGATCCTGAAGACATGTTCCATTTTCTACAATAAGATTCAGTGGGAAACAATTGCTCAGGGAATCTATTATATATTTTTCAGAGAAAGTATGGAAATCACATTATCGTTAATGGCAATAGAATAGAGAATAAAATAGAATGAAGAGCAGTATCTAAATAAGCTATCATTATATATGAAATAGAGTCACTTAGTGGTTAAGTGATGTTTGTTAGGAAGTTATCTTGGCAGTTGCTTTTGTAAAAAGAAGATCAAAAGCATACCAAGAATGCCAGTTAATGCCATCATTATTTACTTAGTACAAATTTACAGGAAAATGTGTTTATGAAAATAAAATATCATCTAAAGAATTGAGAGTGATTTTCATCTTTATTGTTGTGTATCACTTTTCCTTTAAAAAGCAAACAAACCTATTTATCACTTTACTATAGGAAACAGTGACTGAATTAATAAAGAAGGTATACTAAGTAAGAAAAATAAATAACTATGGCTTAGAAGTCACTGCTACATCCAAACAACAAGTAGAAAACTAAAAAAAACTAACACATCTTTTTAGATCCATCAGAGAAGTGAGATCATAGGGCAAACTCCTGCAACAAAAGTAGAAGAGACAAGCAGACACAGAGAATCATAACTTACCAGAGCAGAAACCACAAAGGAGAAACGTCCCCAGAAATCAGTTCTGGGGTAGGAAAGCCTTAATCATAATTGAAAAATTGCTGGAGGCTCAGTGTGGACAACTCTCAGAGCTAAAAACCAGGGGGATCCAGTCATAGAGAGACCTATGTTTTGTGAATTTTACCGCCAGGCGTTCTACATGTCCTCACAGTGAATATTTGGGAAAAATCCTTTTTTTCTTCCAGTAGGCGTTAAGGGGAAAGAAACCATTTTGAGATACACCAGAGCATTTTGTTCTTCACAAGGCCAGTCCTCAGAAGAAGCTATTTTTTTCACCAATGTAACCTGCTGGGGTTATATCAAAGCCTAACCTACCTGGGAGAAGAGAAATACTCAGCTCCAGTTCCAGCTCCCTCTAGCTTTCCTCATGTGAAAAAAGAAATACCGGACTCCAGACCCCTCCAGCCATCTTGTCCCACCTAAGAGTTGCTGGGCGATGGTGGAAGAAGGAGGCATGATTGAGAAACACTGGTGAAGTTCACAGACCAGGGGTGCAGGCTCACCAAAAGAGTGAGACTTAATCATAGGATTATAGAATGCTTTCCCTCCTCCCACACCTTACCACTACATTACTAAAGGCCTGTTTCCTACTGTTCCTTTTATCCAGTACATCATGTCCACTTTTCACCAAAAAACTGTGAGGCATACTGAAAGGCAAAGCAGAAACAAAAATGAAACCACAGTTTGAAGAGACTGAACCAACATCAGAACTAGGATCAGATATGGCTGGAATGTTGGAATTATCAGATTAGGAATTTAAAAAAATAGACGACATGCCAGAACAGATGGATAATGTAAACAGAGAGCTAGAAATTCTAAGAAGGAATTTAAAAATGCTCAAGATAAAAAACTATAACAGAAATAAAGAATGCCTTTGATGGGATCATCACTAGACTAAACACAGTGAGGAAAGAATTTGCACTTGGGGACATGGTAATAGAAACTTCCAAAACAGAACAAAGACTGGGGAAAAGATACAGTACAAAATATCTTTAAAAATGTGAGACAATTACAGAAGGTATAGTATGCATAATGGAATACCAGAAGGAAAAGCAAAAGGCAAAGGAATAGAAGCAATGTTTGTAGCAACAATGACTAAACAGAACAAAATAAAACAAGTCTACACCTTGGCGTATCATATTCAAACTGCAGAAAATCAAAGATAAAGCAAAAATCTTGAATGAATCCAGAGAAACCACCTTAACCCTAGAGGGGCAAAGATAAGAATTACATCTGATTTTTCCTCAGAAACCAGTCAAGCAAGAACAAGGTAAAATAAAATTAAACATTTAAAGTGTTGAGAGAAGAAGGCTCACCAACCTAGAATTCCTTACCTTGCCAAACGATCCTTCAAAAGTGGAGAAATAAATACATACTCAGAAAAACAAAAATTGAGGGAATTTATGTCAGTAGACCTGTCTTGCAAGAAATGTTAAAAGAAGTTCTTCAGAGAGATGGAAAATGATATAGATCAGAAATGCAGGTCAATATAAAGAAATGAAGAGCATGGGAGAAGGAATAAATGAAAATAAAATGAAACCTTTTATTTTTCTTATTCTTAGTTGATCTGACAACAGTTTATTCAACAAAATAATAGCAACAATGTATTTGGTTATATGTGTGCGTGTGTGTGTGTGTGTGTGTGTGTGTGTGTGTGCATTTGCTAGGTATGTTTATATAAAAGGGAAATGAATGACAGTGATGATGCAAGGTACAGGAGTGGGGAGTTAAGAATATTTTGCTATTGTAAGGTATTTGCCATATCCGTGATACCCATTTGGGTGACAGATAGTATAAAGTAGTAACCTGTTATTTGAAAGTGGACTTGGATTAGCTGCAAATATGTATTGCAAATTCTATGGTAACCACCAAAAATAGTTGAAAAATTATAACAGATATGTTAAGAAAGGAGAGAAAATGGAATCTCATGAAATGCTCAATTAAAACCACAAGAGGCAGGAAGAGTATGAAACACAAAAACAGGAACAAAAAACAAAGGCAACAAGTAGAAAACTATAGTAAATATGGCATATATTATAATAATCCAACTGTATCAATAATCACTTTAAATATCAATGGTCTAAATACACCATTTAAAACGGATTTCTGGCCAGCTGCAATGGCTCACACCTGTAATCCCAGCACTTTGGTAGGCCAGGACAGGAGGGTCGTTTGAGGCCAGGAGTTCATGACCAACCTGGGCAATATAGTAAGACCCTATCTCTACAAAAATTTTTAAAATTAGCCAGGTGTGGTGATGTGTGCCTGTAGTCCCAGCTACTCAGGAG